GCGGGGGGGGGGGGGGGGTGTCATGACAACGAACAGGGAACAGGACCATGGGGGTCAGCGGCCTAGGAACCAGCTGACAGGCAGTGCAGAGTCAATGGCAGGTGTGTTCTGCACCAGCCTTCTACACAGAGCTAAGGAGGCAGCCCCAGGGAGCAGCCTGTTCTCACAGTGTCCAGACATCCTAAAGCAGGGGTGGGGAACCTAAGGCTTGGGGGGCTGGTTCTGGCCTCTGGCTTGCCTGGATCTGGCCCCCCCGAGGCTCAGGGCTCCCCACCATCGTGGCTGCCTGCTGGGACGGAGGAAGAAGGGAGCTCCAAGCCTCGACTCACAACCCACTGCTCTGATTGGTTGTAATCGCAGCCAACAGGAGACGCTGGGGGCGGTGCCTGAGAGCAGCGGGGGAGCTGGAGCCATGTGGGTCCCCGGGGAGCTGCACCAGGTAAGGGCCCTGCTCCTGCCTCTCTCCCCGCCTGCCCAACCCTCCCGCACTCCACCTGCTCCTGCACCCTCCCAGACCCCACACCCAACGTCCTCTTCCCAGCAGCCCCCTCCCACACACTGAACCCCTCATTTAGGGGCCCCACCTCAGAGCCTGGGGGCCCCGCAAAATGTACTAGCCCGGGCTCCCCTCGGCTCCGGTGTGCAAGGGGAATGCCTCTCTGCTTCTTGGTCGGGGGCCATATCAGTGAGGGGTGAGGTTGGGGGGGTTGGGCATCTCGCTTTCTGACTTTTCTGTGGGTCAGCGAAGGTGCCCACCCCTGTCCTAAGGAAAGGCTGTTCACCCTGCCCTGATCCTGAGGAAACAACCATCCTAGCCACGGCTGCTACCGGATCTCACGAGGAAGCTGGAGGGATGCAGGAACTGCCACTAGGTAGATGCAGAACTGGCCACGCCCCTGCAGAGAAAGCGTCTGCAATGGGGCCAGATGGCAGGGAGGTCTCAGGTGGGTTCCCCAGGGATCTGTTCTCAGACCGGGGTGTTTCACATGGGTGCTAGTGACCTGGATGTAGGCACGGAGCGTACCGGCGATGCGTGGGAGATGAGGGGGCGCATGTGCCCAAATTCTGTGGGCGGGAGGGGCAAGGGGCCGGCCAGCAGCCGGCAGGGCTGTAGTCTCTGGACATCTAGGAGGACGAGCGTGGGTCCTCATGCCCACCCTGGCCATCCCTGCCCTCACCGTCAGGAAGCTGAGTGACGTGGCCGGGGGAGAAAAGCAAGCTGGGGCCATGTCGCTCTGCTTTAGTTGGGGAAAGAGGCAGGATGGGAATGTAGCAAGGGCAGGGAAGAAGTGGGGAGAGGGTGGAGTAGGGGTGGGGAGAGGCACAGCCTGGGGTGGAGAGGGGTTGTCCTGGCCCTTCCTTGGACTGTGGGGGTCACATGGCCGGTGGCCCCCCTGGTCACCCCTCACCAGTGGCCACTGGTAGAGCACACACCGCAGGTGACAGAAAGCTGCCGGGGCAGGGAGAGGGAGGGCAGAGTTGGCAACCTTTTCATAGAATCATAGAATAATAGGACTGGAAGGGACCTCGAGAGGTCATCGAGTCCAGCCCCCCGCCCTCAAGGCAGGATCAAGCTCCGTCTACACCATCCCTGACAGATGTCTATCTAACCTGTTCTTAAATATCTCCAGAGAGGGAGATTCCACCACCTCCCTTGGCAATTTATTCCAATATTTGACCACCCTGACAGTTAGGAATTTTTTCCTAATGTCCAATCTAAACCTCCCCTGCTGCACTTTAAGCCCATTACTCCTTGTCCTGTCCTCAGAAACCAAGAGGAACAAATTTTCTCCTTCCTCCTTGTGACACCCTTTTAGATATTTGAAAACCGCTATCATGTCCCCCCTTAATCTTCTTTTTTCCAAATTAAACAAGCCCAGTTCATGAAGCCTGGCTTCATAGGTCATGTTCTCTAAACCTTTAATTATTCTTGTTGCTCTTCTCTGTACCCTTTCCAATTTCTCCACATCTTTCTTGAAATGTGGTGCCCAGAACTGGACACAGTACTCTAGCTGAGGCCTAACTAGTGCAGAGTAGAGCGGCAGGATGACTTCACGAGTTTTGCTTACAACACACCTGTTGATACAACCTAGCATCATATTTGCTTTTTTTGCAACAGCATCACACTGTTGACTCATATTCAACTTGTGGTCCACTATGACCCCTAGATCCCTTTCCGCCATGCTCCTTCCTAGACAGTCGCTTCCCATCTTGTATGTATGGAACTGATTGTTCCTTCCTAAGTGGAGCACTTTGCATTTGTCTTTATTAAACCTCATCCTGTTTACCTCTGACCATTTCTCTAACTTGCTAAGGTCATTTTGAATTATGTCCCTATCCTCCAAAGAAGTTTGGAGGACTGAGCTAAGATTCAGAGAGATCTTGACAAACTGGAGATCTGGGCCAAAGGCAACAAAATGAAACGCAGCAAAGCCAAATGGCACGACGGCGGAAAAGAGAAACCGAATGCGCAAACACAGCTTGGGGGAGAACTGGCTTGGCAGCAACACTGCTGAGAAAGGTCTGGGAGTAGGGGTGGGTTCTGGCCTCAGCATGGGACAGCCGGGGGACGCTGTTGCAAAATAAACACATGCAATCTGAGGTCACATTCACCGAGGCCTAGCGAGCAAGTGATAGTGCGGCTCTGCTCAGCGCTGGCCAGGCCTCAGCCGGAGTCGTGTGTCCCGTTTTGGTCACTGCTGTATGGAAAGGGTGTGGAGACACTGGAAAGGATCTGGATGCAAGTAACAATGAGGATCCAAGGGATGATGCAGCCATAGGAGCAAAGGTGGAAGGTACTGGGGGTATGTCTACAGTGCCACCCTAGTTCAATCTAGAGTGGCAGTCTAGACATACCCTGGGTGTGTTGAGTTTGGAAAAGGGGAGATTAAGGGGGGATATGAGAAGAGCCTTCAGATCACTGAAAAGCTGCCATAGAAAGGATGGAGAAAAGCTCTTCTCTCGCCACAGAGGGCAGGACAAGAGGCAGCGGGTTCAAACTCCAGCATAGCAGAGTTAGTGAAATCTCAGGGGAAACTTCCGAACTGTAAGAACAGCAGGACATGGGAACAGATGCCTAGGGAAGCTTTGGAAGCTCCTTGACCGGAGGGTTTCAAAGGAAGGCTGGAGACCAGCTCTCTGGGATGGGTTAGCCACAACTGGGCCGAGGTTAGACAGATGACCCTTGAAGTCCCTTCTAGACCTGCAGTTCTCTGATTCTGTGACTTGTTAATGTTCCCGCTTTTGGCCAAATGTTTGGGGTCTCGTAGGTTGTTGCAGCTGGGAGCAGAAGTTGGTGATTGTCAGACAAAGAACTGTGTCTTAGCTAGAAAGATCCAAGAGTAAGCAGAGCAGTGTCTTATCTTTCAGCCCCAAGCCTCTTTACCCGAGGCCCAAAAACGCTTGCTAGTTTTTTCCAGGGTCACACTGCTCTTGCTGTTCACACTGTTTTCATGCCATTTGCCTCTGCCTCTTAACCGATATGTTACAGATATGTTAATTGAGAGGTGAGTTCACACCTCTCACTTACATAGCACTTTTCACGGGTAGATTTCAAAGGACTTTACAAAGGAGGTCGGTATCACTACCCCCTTTTACAAATGGGGAAACTGAGGCACAGAGAAGTAAAAGTGACTTGCTTGAGCTCACCTAGCAGGCCGGAGCTGAAATGACAGCAAAGGCCTCCTGAGATTTTTAGTCCAGTCCTATATCCACCAGGACCCCTGGATTTGAAAGGACCTTGGAATCCTACAGACAACTATATACCAGAAACCTACAGCTAAGCACACCTGCCTTCATAGTAATGACCCCAAACACACCAAGCAGTCAGCTCTCTCCAGCCAGGCCCTCTGACACCACAGAATATGTTCTGAGGATAAAGTCCGAGATACACACCTTCACCACAAGGATGCTCCACCAAAGAAGTAGATTGCATCCTAGAATGGGCCACTCAAATACCCTGAGAGAACCTGCTTCAATACAGAAATAAAAGCTCCTTTGACCACATCCCATAGTTGTCACGTTCCACCCCACTTTGGAACCGCAGTGAGATATCGTCAAACATCTGTAGCTCACACTGCATAGGGACCTCATTCGGAACCTCCTCTCCAGGCCTGCAAACAACCCTTCCACCTCTCCAAGGGTATGTCTATACTACCCCGCTAGTTCGAACCAGCGGGGTAATGTAGGCATACCGTACTTGCAAATGAAGCCCGGGAAATTCAAATCCCCGGCTTCATTTGCAAGTGCGGTATGTCTACACTACCCTCCTAGTTCGAACTAGGAGGGTAATGTAGGCATACCGTACTTGCAAATGAAGCCCGGGATTTGAATTTCCCGGGCTTCATTTGCATAAGCAGGGAGCCGCCATTTTTAAAACCCCGCTGGTTCGAACCCCGTGTAGCCACGCTGCACGGGATTCGAACCAGCGGGGTTTTAAAAATGGCGGCTCCCTGCTTATGCAAATGAAGCCCGGGAAATTCAAATCCCCGGCTTCATTTGCAAGTGCGGTATGTCTACACTACCCTCCTAGTTCGAACTAGGAGGGTAGTGTAGACATACCCCAAGGTCCTCATCAGAAGCCAGTCCCTTACCAACCCGGTCAAACCAGCTCCATCAGGCACCGGGCCCTGCCAGAACAACAGATTCCAAGCCTGCAGATTCCGTTATGGTGATCAATACCCTCCACAACACATCGTTCAGCACCACGGGTCCCACATATGCCCTTTGCAACATGTAGGCTGTGTCTAGACTGTCAAGTTTTTCCACAAAAGCAGTTGCTTTTGTGGAAAAACTTGCCAGCTGTCTACACTGGCCACTTGAATTTCTGCAAGAACACTGACGGTCTCATGTAAGAAATCAGTGCTTCTTGCGGAAATACTATGCTGCTCCCGTTCAGGCAAAAGTCTTTTTGCGCAAAAGCTTTTGCACAAAAGGGCCAGTGTAGACAGCTCAGATTTGTTTTGCCAAAAAAAGTACCGATCGTGAAAATGGCGATCGGGGCTTTTTTGCGGAAAAGCACATCTAGATTGGCACGGACGCTTTTCAGCA